CTCATTCATTCATTCAATGGTCAGTCATTTATCACCACATAAAGTACTTGCACTGTGCCAAGCTCTGAGCTGGAACACTGGGGAAGCAGAAATAAATCAGCCATAAATTGTCTTCAAGGAGCTGTCAGTCCCGTCAGAGACAAGGATGTAGCAGACGATTACATTTAGAACACACTACAGCTGGCGCTCTGAGGTCCGTTTGGGGGCTGGGGGAGCACAGGTAAGGCAACGAGGAGCTTTGCTTTAAAGGATGATTACAAGTCCGCCATGTTAGGAAGGGAGAGAACAGCATTCCAGGCAGAAGGAACAGCAGGGCCAAAGACAGGGAGCCATGAAGGCACGTGGGCTTGCACCATGGCCAGAAGGTAAGGAGAATTTGCGGGAGTGCCAAGAGATGGTTTTGGAGAAGTAGCTTGGGGCTGGATCTTTGATGGTCTTGGGTTCAATGCTAAGGAATCTGGTAGGAAATGGGGAGTCCCTGAAGGGAGAGGGATACAGGGTCAGAGCTACATTTCATAAAAATCTTTTTTTTTTAAGATTTTATTTATTTATTTGAGACAGAGAGAATGAGAGAGAGAGAGAGAGCACATGAGAGGGGGGAGGGCCAGAGGGAGAAGCAGACTCCCCGCCAAGCAGGGAGCCCGATGCGGGACTCGATCCTGGGACTCCAGGATCATGACCTGAGCCGAAGGCAGTTGCTTAACCAACTGAGCCACCCAGGCGCCCCTCATAAAAATCTTTTAACAGCATCATAGAAGAAGAAAAGGCTTGATGCAGAGCGGCTTTTACAAGGCTCTGACAATAGCTCAGGGAAGAGATGACAAGAACTTGGTCGGAGTCGTGACTGTGCAGATAGAAATGAATAGAAGGAATATTCAGGAAGGTAGAATTGATAGGACTCTTGACCAAATAAATGGGGTGGTGAAGGAAAGGGAAGTCTCTGGCTTGGTGCCTGGGTGGATGGTGTTACTAATGCTAACCAAGATGGGGGACACTGGAGGAAGAGTGGGTGATGAGCCTGAGTCAGGCCTGTTGGGTGTGAAGTGCTTTTGGGATGTCCTATTGGCTTTGTCTGATTGGCAGGAGTCACAGATGCCTGGAGCTGAGGAGAGCAGCCCGGGCCGGACACACGAATCTGGGAGTTGCGAGTTTATGGCTGGTGGCTGGAGCCCTGGGCGTGAATGGGATTGTAGGAGGGTGTGGGGTGGAAAGAGGACAGGGTTGAGAGTGGCACTGACATTTAAGAGATGAGAGGAGATGAGTCCACAAAGGAGGCTGAGTGAGGCCAAGAGGCGTTGCTGCTTCCCTCAGTTCCCAGGGACATGGAGGGCGAACACCCCAGTGGCCACAACTCCTCCCACAACAGAATCATCTCCAGGAAGGGCCATGGGGTCACCGCCCTAGAAGCCCCAGGGTGAGCAGTCGCTCGGCTGGGGACCCTGAGAAGATGTCCTGAGGCGGGGACGCGTGGGCGCCTGGGCTTGGCCTGCCTCCACTCCCTCTCATCCCCATGCACAGTAACTTCAACATTTCACATTTGTGTTTTTGTCTGAGAGAAAAACAAAAGGATGCAAGAAAAGAGAAACAGAAGAAATGCTTGCGTTTGTTTAGTTTTCAGATCAGACGAGGACCCAGCACTTCCTGACATTGAAGAAAACCTCCCAGACATGTCCTAGGTTGACTCCAATGAGCTCATTCTCTCGTTATCATTAGGAGCAAAGAGAGTCGGGTCCTTTCACAATTAAATGACGGAGGAATCTTATAAAACAAAAGAGAGGAAATGGCCCCAGAATTATGCTCTCTGGTTCACGTTCTCCCACAGAAACAGGACTGTAGCTTTAAACTGATAATGGCTCTGAGCGGCCAAATAATTGATCTATTTGGTGCTCTGGCTTTAAGTGAAAAGTGAACTGCCCTCTTTAGAAATGTTGGCAGCCTGGCTGGTCCATTAGTAAGACTGAAAAATCAAAACACTGACTGGAAAAGGCCATTATGACTCCTGGACTCAGCAGGAGTCATCGATAGATGATGTCATTTCAGAAATAAGCAAGCCAAGGTCACAAGGCTCCTGGGCAGAGTCAAACTATGCTTCCTGGCCCATCACCACCCTCCTTCACAGATACTGAAGACTGCCAAGGGGACGCAGGGGTCTGAGCCAGGACTGGATTCATTTTACTTTACTTAATTTCTTTGCTTAGCCTGATTCTGGAGGAATGTGATTCCAGAGTCTGTGACGCTCAGCAGGTGGTTAAGGCAGGCCTCCGGTCCTCCCATATACACACCCCTCTCTCTTTTCCTCCTCTTCCCGTCTTCTGGGTCCTTCTCCACCTCTTCCTACAAGCCTCATCCCAGAAGCACCTGCCCTCCCCTGCCCATCCCCCCATGCCTGTTCTTAGCTCCTGCTACCTTCCCTCCCTGCTCCTTTCTCAGAGGAGCTTTCAGGAGTGGTAGGCTCTGTTCCCACGCCTTCAGCTCCCATGAACCTGCCTCTTCCTCTCGCTAATGCTCGAAATATCATCGCAGGGACCAAGCACTTGGGCTGAGGGCTTTCCCAGCATCATCTCACTTAATCCCCAAAGCAACCCATGTGAAATGGGTGCTGTTATTATCCCCATCGCACAGAGGAGGAAACTGAGGCTCAGATAGACAGGCTGGGTCACTGGCCCCAGTAAAGTAGTGGCGGATCCCATGCTTGAGCCCTTAGCAAGGCCCTGGCCAAAGTCACCCATGACCACCTGCCAATCCTGGTGGCCCCCTTCCCGGTCCTCAGCCCCTCCGTCTCTTCTCAGCAGCTGCCACTGCTGACTTCTCTCCTCCCTGGGCCCCTGGGAAGCTACTTTCTCCTCCTCTTTCCCTCCTCTTCACGGGGTGGGTCCCCCTGAGTTTCATCCCCGGAACTTCACTTTTCTCATGCTAGCAAGTCTTCCAAGGGAACCTCTGAGCCCTCTTGACCCCAGGTCTACTGGGGACCGTCCTGCCTACCCCCTCATAGCTTGAGGCCACTCTAAATGGGTGGCAGAATTGGGGTTGGAGCCAGGTGTCCCGACCTCCAGGTCAGTCCACCTCCTGTTACTCAGAGCTGCCACTAAATACCTACTCCCTGTTTTTACATTTTTGCTGAGCTGCAGGAAGCAGCCCTACCCTGGACGAGGGAGAAGGTGTGAGGCCCTGATAAGGTGGGGAGGAGGCTATTTTTAGAGGGCACTGGCGCTCCACTTAGGCTGGGAGCAACTCAGGGGCCAAGACGGGCAAAAACGTGAGTTTGCAAGATTGGCACATCAGAGGGAGTAAAGACACCAAGTGACAGCATTCCCTGCTTTCACTCTGCCTGTTTGTTGTATGGCTCAAACTGATGGGACTCTGTCTTCATTTCCCCTTACTTCTTTATCAGTGAGGCTTTGAGGTGGGTCTAGAGAAAATATATAATAGAAAGTAAAGTTCAAACAAAAATGAAATTTCAGAATGAGGGCGCTATATTGTCTGAGCAAGGGAAAGTTCTGGACAGCAGCAGATCAAAGGAGAGGGGGCACTGGTGGGGTGCTCACAGATCCCCAAGACCTGCCTGAGCGGCAGGAAGGGTCAGGAAAGAGAGGAGAAAGGCGAGTGGAGCCTGCAGGCCTCCTGGCCTGTCAGCAGCACGTGACCTTGAGCAGGGGGTTCTGTGGCCCTTGACAAAGAACGTAATAGCTGTCATCACTGGGAGAAAGATGAGGATTTGGGGGAGGGGTGCTCCGTCTGAGGGCCCAGAACCCGAATTAGGGTCTGGGTCTGTGATTCCAATAGGGAAAAACTTGGGCTAGGTCATCGTGAAGAATCTGAGAGGGTGAAGGTGGAGACCACGTGCAGGGTCGGTCTAGCAGGACCCGGCTGGGCGGCTGGGGGTGCCTCCAAGGCCGCATCAGAGGCCCTGTATAGATGGGGAAACTGAGGCCAGGGCGCAGCTGGACTGGAGCCTCTGGTGCTGCGCGGTTCATTGGGTCGAAAGCTGCGAGGGAGATGGCTGCTTCCCAGCAGAGGTGCCCAGAATTACCGAGGGACGCTCTTCCGGGACGTACCCGGCGCAGGCCACTCCGAGGGCCCTAGGAGGTCCCAGTACAGGCCTGCGTCAGAGCGACTGCCCAAGTGTCCGGTTTCCACAACGCCCCGGGCTGTGCTCGGCTGTGCCCCCAGCGTCCCAGGCCCGAGGCGGCGAACAGGTGTGGGGGAGCGCCAGCGGTCAAGAGCGCGCCCTGCTGCTCTCACCGCCCAGACTCCTAGCTCCCTCGCCCGAACCAAACCCTGCCCTTACGAACGGGGAAACTGAGGCCCAGAGAAGGGAGGGGGCTCGCCAAGGCCACCCCGCGAGTTGGCGACAGCGAGGGGGGCTTCTTGCCCGCTCTACCTCGGCACGAAATGCGCGTGTCGTGGCGCTTTAAACCGCGTCATCTCCCGCAGTTTGGGAAACTTTTCCTGCCACCAATAGGCGCAGCCCGAACCCCGGTTGCTAGTCCCCCGAGCACGAACGCCCCACTCCCACCCCCAAACTCCCGGCAGCCGGAGGAGGGCCACGCCTCGTGCCGGGCTCGGCCGGGCACCTGTCCGCAGCAGAGGGCCCGCCGGCTCCGAGCCCCGCGGCGCGGGAGTCGAGCGGCCGGCGGGTGGTGAGTGGCGGGGGCGGCCGCTCCTGCGGGACCCCGGCCCCGGCGCCGCTCTGCGAGAGCCTGGCTCCTGCCGCCGCTTACGGACGCGGCGCCGAGGGCCAGAGACGAGGGCGCCCCGCCTGGGGCCCCGGGAGCCTAGCGGCGCGCACGCGAGCGCGGCGCTCCGGACCCCGAGACCAGGGCTCCCCAGCCCCGGAGGCAACCCGAGGCGGCGGCTATTTATAGAGGGAGCCACGCTCAGTCCCTCTTGGCGGCGGCGGCGACAGCTGAATATTTTGCCCAGATATGGCTGGGGCCCCGGCGCGGGGGCAGGGAGCCCCGCGAGCGCGAGGGGTACCCCGGGCCGGGCGGGGGGCTTACCGGGCCGTAGAGCCGCGGGGGCGGGCGCGGGCGGCGACGGGGCGAGCGCGGGCGGCAGGCGGACAGGCGCTGGCGGCGGCCGGCGGGCGGGCGAGCGGAGCGCGGGGCTGGACGAGCTCCCGGGCGGCCGCGGGCGGGCGGGCTGGCGGGCGCTGTGGGCTCCGGGGGAGGGAGCCAGGGGCGGGCCCGGCTCCGCGCTGTCACCGCGCCCCGCCCCGCCCACCGCTCTCTCCCTCCGTACCTCTCCCTCCACTCGGGGGCGCCGGGGCGCCGCGCACCGTCCCCGACCGCGGTGCGGCGTCCGCTGGGGGCAGCGCGGGGCAGGGGCCGGGCCGCCTCGAGGCTTGGTTCCGCGGACGAAGGGGTGTGGATAGCCCTGAGTCTGAGTCTCGGTTTTCCCAGTTGTACCAGGAGGCGTTCAAGCGGCGGTAGAGTTATCTGGAGAAAGGTGGGTGGATTTTCATTCCTGCGGCGTCTGGGATGTAAGAATCGGTAGGTCTTTGGATGGAGCAAAGCCAGCCAAGCAGCTGCTGCACCTTTACTCTTTTGGCTACAGCAATCACCTGTCCCATTTTACCAGCAGCCCACCTAGGGCTGGTATGAGCCGAAGATTTAATAACGATCATTTTGTGAGCACGTAGTTCCAACAGAGTCAAATGCATTCTCTCTATACTTAGCAGGAATGGAGGGTCCAAAATACTGACTTAAAATACAACCAAAAGGTCCCACCTTCTTAAAAGGCTAATATGTTTCCCAGAACAAACCTCTTAAACCCAATTTAAACTTTGTTTAAATTTTTTAAATGGCTCATAAAAAGGAATTCGTGTGAACAAAAGGTATGGTTCTAATTATTATGGGTAAGTTTCTTGTGGGGTAGACCCTAATAATGTAACTCCTTTTAATCCTGGTATATAGGGGCCCCTGGATGGCTCAGGCAGTTAAGCCTCTGCCTTCCGCTCAGGTCATGATCCTGGGGTCCTGGGATGGAGCCCTGCTCAGTGGGGAGCCTGCTTCTCCCTCTCCCTCTGACCCTCCCCGCTCTTGTGTTCATGCTGTCTCTCAAATTAATAAATTTAAATTAAAAAAAACCCCTGGTGTATGGATTACTAATGAGAAACATTCGTTTTTGTTTTTGTAAGTCTTGTTTTCCACAAAAATGTATTCCTACATTACAAAACCCTCACAGCTCTAAGAAAATGGTCTTTTCAAGAGGATACGTGCCATGCATTTTTAAATAAAGCGATGATTTATTTCAGATTGTTTTTAAACCCCTTAGTTGTGGAATCAAACATTTAAGAGAAGTACATACATCCTAAGTGCGCAGGTTCAAGAATTTTTTTCACCTGAACACCTGTTGCAACCACCATTCAGTCAAGAAACAACATGGCCAGCAGCCCAGAAACCAACCGGTGTGGTCCTGGGTCACAGCTCCCTCCTAAGGTGATCGCTTCCTTGACTCCTGCTTCCCTCGTGGTTTGTCTCCATTTGCTCAACTCTGCGTTGTGAGATTAATCCGCGTGGCTTCATGTGGCTGTAGTTTGTTTACTTTCATGGCTGTAGAGGTTTCCACTGCATGAATATACCACAGTTTTTAAAAAATCTATTTTACTATTAATGGACATTTGTTTCTAGGTTTTAGATACAGCCATGGTGCTGCTGTGACTTCTTTACCAGTATCCTCCAGCACAAGGGCACGCATTCTTCAGTAATTGAAATTAACGAAAGTTGGAACGTCGTCGTCTCGGTTCTGGGAGGAGGGGTGGTATCTCACTGAAATTTGAATTTCCATTTCCCATGTCCTGATGGGTTGAGCACCTTTTCATGTTTATGGGCCAGCTGGATTTCCTTTTTGTGAAATGTTTGTTCAGATTTGTTGCCATTTTGTTTCTGGATAGTCTTTTGTTCATTGAATATATTCTATATACTATATTCCTCTATATTCCTCCACTGTGTAATTGCCTTTACACCATCATAATAATGCCTTTGGATAAACAGGTGTTCTTCATTTTAGCATAGTCTAACCTATCAATATTTGCCTTTTTGTTAGCACTTTGTCCTGTTTAGGACATCTTTCCTACTCCTAGATTATCAAGGTATTTTCCTGTGTTATCTTCCCTCCTTAGACTCTCATGTTTAGGCTTTCAATCCACTTGGAATCAACTTTGAACATGGTATGAGGCCAAGTTTCATTGTCCGTCAAATTGTCCTAGCATGATTAATTTTTCACTTACATCAACAACACAATTGCTTTATTTCGAAAAGTAATGGAAGGGCGCCTGGGTGGCTCAGTTGGTTAAGCGACTGCCTTCGGCTCAGGTCATGATCCCGGAGTCCTGGGATCGAGTCCCACATCAGGCTCCCGGCTCAGCGGGGAGCCTGCTTCTCCCTCTGACCCTATCCCCTCTCATGCTGTTTCTCTCTCTCTGTCAAATAAATAAACAAAATCTTAAAAAAAAAAAAGTAATGGAAGCATTTCTAACGTCAGTGAAATAGAAACCACCTCTTCTTTATCTGTAGGCAATTTGAGGATTTTTGTTTTTATTAGGAGAGAAATCATTGTAAAATACATTCACACTATTTTACTTAAATGTTTATATGTCAAGATATTTTGATTTTATCATAAATGATTATTTAAATCACTGGCATAAGCATTCCTGAATTTTGAATCACTTTAATTATGTTAAATATAAATTTTAAGAAGTTAGATAATTTCAACATGTTTTACATGAAAAATATCAAACATCTGGTCTTTTTCTTTCTGCTCTCACTTCTCCTAGATTTTCTCAAACAAAAATAAGCAAATGACCTGAAGAAATTTTATCTCCAGCCTGGTCTTCTCCCCTGAGAAGACTCTACATTTCTAATAGTTTATGCATATCCTCACAGAGACCTATTGACTTAAACTCAGGATGTTTAAAATCAAAATTTTCAGTTTCCCAAATGGAGTAAGGGTCATCATCATCCTAGCCTTTCAGACTAAGATTTGGCTTCACTTTTCGACGCTTCCTTTTTCCTGTCTTCTGGATCTAAAATGTCAGTACTAAAAATTCTAATTAAAAACTGCAAAAGGCCTTTAATTTTTTTCTTCATTCCCATTGCTTGCCTCTTAGTCCAGGGCCTGCCCCTCTCATTTTTGGACCACTGCTTAGGAAGGCCTCCAACCTGTCAGTCCACCCTGCTCATCAATTAGCAAGCACATAATGGGTGCCTGAGGTGTTCAAGATATCATTCTGTCTTTTGTGGAAGACAGACAGGGGTGTGTTCTGGGGTCCCTGCACAGGCTCACAAGACCTGCTTGGGTATGTCTTCTCCCAACTCTATATTCAGTGATGTCACATTGTTAGCGGGAACTCAACAGTGGTGGGAGTATTTACAACATGGGAATCATCAGATACTGGGAATCATCAGATACTGGGAATCAAGGCTTACTCCCTGCCCACCCCCACCAGAACCAACTGTCAAACATTTATCAGGACACCATTAGAGAGATGACAAAGACCCCTCCCTCCTTCAAGGAGCTCATGATCTAGTTGGGGTGACTGGTGCACAGACAACTAGTTATACGCTATTAAGTTCAGTGAAAGCTGGGCACCAGAAGAGGCATATTCAAAATGTAATAGAGTAGGAGCGGTGCCAGGGAAGGCTTCATGGTCAGCCTGGGATGTCAGGGAGGATCCTGGCAAACAAAAATGGTGGAGGGGGGAGAATGAGCAGCAGGCTGAAGAAACAGAATAAGCATGGTTTGGAGGGGGGCAAGGCTTGCTGTAGAATATAGTCCCGGGTGCACATGCATGGGGTTCAGGAGCCAGATAAAGGTCCAGTGTGGCTGGTTAGGGAGTGGTGGGCAATGGGGTTGGGTAGGGAGACTGTGGAAGGCATGGGCTCTCTGGGCAGTGAGGTGCCACTCAAGATTTGGGGTGAGGGGCATGCTTTGAGGGTCACCTGGGCGGCTTCTCTATAGCACCACCAGCAATGCTAATGTGCTAACAACTCAAGATAGTCCTCACGTGGCTTGGTGACCACTTGCTTTGGGATGCACCACTACACCAGGGTTAAGTCATGAAGTTCTCACAATCTAACTGTAAAGGAACCCAGCACCACAAAGAAGACATGAATAGAAAGGGAAACCCTTCGTCTTAAGATCGTAAAGCTCAGAAATGATAAGGCGGTTTTTATATTGATAAACATTTTTATTCTAATATTGTAGTAATAATTCAAGTGCAATTTTCTTTGAAAAGTCAACTCGGTTAAAACAAAACTTGTTAAATATCTTTCATCAAACAGAAGCATATTGTTTTCAATCCCCACAGCAGTCAGCTCTGTAGCAGAGATGAGGTTTCTTTTTTTAGAGCCTACTACATTTTGTTATTGCTAAAAAATCTGAATTAGTTGTCAATATCTCAGAAGCAGTGATTAATTAACTTTTGAAAGCTCTACCAGATACTCTGACATAAAATCATGAATCCAGATATCTGTGTCTGGCAACGATGTGTCCACTAAATAGACCACAACTTTCCGGTCCCAAGGGTTAGCATTTTCTATAACTGTCTGAACCAATGCCACCAGAGGTTTCTTCTCCACATGATTTCGAAATACCATCGAAGCCTCCTCAGACCACTGGTTGCACTTCACCCCTAGGAGAAAGACAGGGAGTACAAGGATCAGTGAGGGGTCGGATGAGCCTTTCTTTGATCTGTAATGATGGAAAACTATTCAGTCAATTCCAAAGTAGCTGAAACATACCAGGTTAGACTTGTCTAATTAAAAAAAAAAAATAACAAAACAGTTGCTCAACAATCTTAAAACAGTCCAGCTTATAATAGTTTCCCTATTCTGAATGGGGTTACTTCTGTAAACCTTTACCTACAGACAGAAGTTTCATTGAGATTTATTGCTGTGTTATAAAATGAAGTTATAATAACTACTGCCCATTTCCCTATATAAAGTATATGTAGATTTAAACTGATAATGGGGATAACCAAGGGGAATAAAATATCAATAATATCTGTAACATTGTGTGTCAACTATACTCAACTAAAATAAAATATCAACGATCTCAATGGCATGTCTCTTATTTATAGACTTTTTTTCCCGATGAACCAGATATAATGAGGAGGAGGAGGAGGAGGAGGAGGAGGAAGAGAATTCATATACTTAGAGTATACTAATTTTTCAAAATTATATACAATATCATGGCAAAAGCACTGGATTGAAAGTCTGGAGATCCAGTTACCTTTCTCGGCTCTTCTTCTATCATGTGGTATGATCTTGGGCAAATCAACTGGCTTCTCAGGCCTCAGTTTATTTATCATAAAATAAACTGGCTGGACCAGATTAATTGTAAACCCCATGTATTTCTAAATCCTTATGACTTTTAAGCTTGAGGACTCAAGTTAGAGAATTCTAAGTTAGAATTCTAAATTAGGTTTTAAAACAAAATTGAGGTAAGAATATGTGTTTTTCAAAAAATATTAGTAACTAACATGAATTAAGTCCACATATACTAGATTGCAGAAACTGTAAATGATGTCCCAGAGTGAGGAAGGCCTGGGAGTTTCACACATAATTTAACAGACCCGCTATTCATGTAGTGAGTGGGCTACATTCTTTGAGAACAGGAGAAGCCTAGAGCAGCCTCCAAGCTGTTGTTTCCTGACCCGGGTAATAGCGATAGGAACGGTAGGTAACCCTCCTCATGTGGGGGAGAAGTCAGTGAAATGGAGGGGCTGGTAGAGGCCTTGTGCACACAGTAAGTCCTGGTGACTGTTAGCCATGGTGCTGGCGATGGGGATGATGGTGCCCTGCACTTGTTCCTCATAGAGATGCCCTCTCTGGGCAGTTGACTATCATGCTTAACAACACGTGTTGTTAGCAAAACCTGAACATTCAAAACTCAAAATAAAAAAATGTGATCATTAAATCTGGAGAAACCCTTTAGAGGTCTGAATTCAAAGCAGGTCAGTGGTAGTCATGCTCATCTGCAAGATGCCACTTTTGGTTCATATCTAACTACCATGGGCATTTCCTCTGAAATCTAGCAGGAAGGACAAAGAAACTGGAAAACACTTCAGAATAACACTATATATAGATATCAATATCTCCAATAAAAGCTGGCCAAAAATTAAAAGAAAAAATCTATATACATAATTTCTTTCATTTCCGAGATCAAATCACTTCTGCTACTGTGCTAAATGTATGGGATGAGCCAGGGTAAGGAATCAGGGTGGCACCATGTGGTCACAACCCACCATTTCCCAGCGCAACAGGACACAGAGAGCCCAGATGGCTGGAGGTCTGCATCCCCCAGCCCTTCGGCTCCACACTCTCTGCTAATGCTGACAGACTTCTGGATGAAGCTTCACCGAACTGTGCATGCTCCCCACCGGTGGAATGCACACAGACCAGCCGCCAGCATCTCTACTGCTGCCACAAAAAATGGACTGGACGATCTTTAATTTTATTTCATCTTATTTATTTTTTTAAAAGATTTTATTTATTTGACAGCAAGAGACACAGCGAGCGAGAGAGAACACAAGCAGGGGGAGTGGGAGAGGGAGAAGCAGACTTCTGCAGAGCAGGGAGCCCGACGCGGGGCTCGATCCCAGGACCCTGAGACCTCTCCCCCTCCATGTTCGTTTGTTTTGTTATTTATTTATTTATTTATTTATTTAAAGATTTTATTTATTTGACAGAGAGAGAGATAGCAAGAGAGGGAACACAAGCAGGGGGAGTGGGAGAGGGAGAAGCAGGCTTCCCGCGGAGCAGGGAGCCCGATGCGGGGCTCGATCCCAGGACCCTGGGATCATGACCTGAGCCGAAGGCAGACGCTTAACGACTGAGCCACCCAGGCGCCCCATGGACAATATTTTAAATAAATACCCCTGTACACTACTAACTTACATCCTCAGATTTTTTTTTTTTTTAAAGATTTATTTATTTGAGAGAGACAGGGAATGCATGCACAAGTGAGGGAGGGGCAGAAGGAGAGAATCTCAAGCAGACTCCCCGCTGAGTACGGAGCCCGAAACAGGGCTTGATCTCACAACCCATGAGATCATGACCTGAGTCGAAATCACCAGTTGGACGCTCAACTGACTGAGCCACCCATGTGTCCCAACACCCTCAGATTTTAATAATAGTCAATATGCCGTATGAATGTGGTGAAATCACATACTTGCATGCTGTTAATTGCAATGCAACTGGAGACTCACTTGGCCATAAAGATGGTCATATTCTTTTTTTTTTTTTAAAGACTTTATTTATTTATTCATGAGAGACAGAGAGAAAGAGAGGCAGAGGGAGAAGCAGGCTCCCCGCGGAGCAGGGAGCCCGATGCGGGGCTCGATCCCAGGACCCTGGGATCATGACCCGAGCTGAAGGCAGACGCTTAAAGACTGAGCCACCCAGGTGCCCCAAAGATGGTCATATTCTATGACCTAGGAATGTTTTCTAATTGTGGAAACTT